CAGAATTCTCCAGCCAGCTCTGCTCTGCTGGCTGGAGAATTCTGGGAGTTGAAGTCCACAAGTCTTAAAGTTGCCAAGTTTGGGAACCACTGGTTTAGGCCAAAGTATAGAAATACTACAATACTGTAATACTGTAAATAAAGTGAAGTGCAGGAAAGAAGACTGACAATTCACTAATTTATTTCCCCCAGTGGTTCAGTTTTATTTAAATCTTTATTTAAGGCAATAAAGATGTGATGCCAGGAGACTCAAGTTATTTTTCCACTAGGTCTTGTCTTGGAATTCCCATCATTTATTTATTCATTCCCTTTGTTCAAAGACACTAGATGACATCATTGCCATATTGTTGCATTCTGTATTTTTTTACCAAGTCTGAATTGTGGGATTGCAATAAACATAACAGTGGATGTGAAATTGGGGCTTTTACAGCTGTAATTAAAACGTTCCAGGTTCAATTTTGACCTATGCTGTGGATAGCTGGTTACTGATGAGCTCACACCTTTTTAGTCAGTTTAAGTTTTGTAGGACAAAACCAGATGGTGGCAAAACTCCAGATGGCCACAAGATGGCAGCAGATACAGAAAATATTAGTTCTTGGCTGCCATCTAAGGGTTGTCCAAACATTTGCAAGCCAAATAGCCCTAAAGTATTAGTTACCAAACACTTGCCTTGTCAACATGTATTATTATTATTATTATTATTACAATATGATAAATACCTCTATTTTGTTCTAAAAGAAAGGCACCCATTAAAACCTGGCTCTCACTTACAGCAAATAGAAGCAAGGAGAATATTAAGCTGCTGAATAAATAGCCAGGAATTTCATATAGAAAACTTTCAATACACACCAAAAACTGGTACTTGTTCAATGAGATTTTCCTCATTGTTCGTTATCAGAGAAGCTAGAAATACATAGGGTATAATTTAGCTATGCAAGCAACTGAAACATTAGCCCTAGAACCAAATTAGTGCCATAATGTATCGAGGGAATTCTATGGGGCATTTGTTATAGTGTTATCCTAATTGTCCTTCGATATTTACTTGTTTTAATTGTTGCGTTACTTGTACTTTTGGTTTTCATTCTCTATTCGTCACCCAGATCCACAATTGTGAGATGGGTGGCTATATTAATTGTTTAGTTTAGTTTAGTTTATTTGTCTTTTATGCTGCCCACTCCCGAAAGACTCCGGGCGGCTCACAATAGACAAGGGAAGGGGGAATTGCATAAAAGGTAAAGGTTAGGTAAAGGTGCTCATCATTGTTTCTAAGCCGAAGAGCCAGCGCTGTCCGAAGACATATCCGTGGTCATGTGGCTGGCATGACTAAACGCCGAAGGCTCATGGAACGCTGTTACCTTCCCACCAAATTGGTCCCTATTTTTCTATTTGCACTTTTTATGCACTTTCGAACTGCTAGGTTGGCAGAAGCTGGGACAAGTAATGGGAGCTCACTCCGTTATGCGGCGCTAGGGATTCTAACCGCTTAACTGCCGACCTTCTGATCGACAAGCTCAGCGTCTCAGCCAATGAGCCACCACGTCCCTAGATATTTATTAATTGTATAGCTACCTATTTTTCTTTGCACATGTGGGGGACTCATGATTGCGAAAACAGAAAAGTTAAATTATTTATTAAATTAGGAGTACCAGATCTGGGCTGCCGAATCTATACACATGGAGTCCCCTCCACCCCCGAAACTCCTCCCCACTATAAAGGGGAACAGTCCAGAGGGCCCCAAATGCCTTTCAGTCTTTTCTCCCACGACTCCACAAACATTTTTGTAGTTGTGATTATGATTTGTAGCTGACACAATATACTTTGCAACAAAAGAAGGTTGCGCGCTACTTATCCTCACATTTCTGCCTGGATTACGCACCATGGGAGGTGCTGGCGTTGGCATAATGGCTGTTGGCGGGATGGCGTGAGGAAAAGGCGTGAAGGTGTGCTGGTGCGTGTGTTGGTGCGTGTGCTGGTGTTGGTGCTGGTGTTGGTGGAACTCCGTCCTCAAGTAAGGTGGTGGGCCCAGCGAGGCGCCACGATCAGCGCTCTGGGAAGCCAGAAACCGAGTGTTCAGCTCCTGGCGGAGAAGATCTTGCTCTGGAAAGGAAGACAACACCATGAAAGCTTCTCCCCTCCTCCTCCTTTAAGTCATCTTATGCATCACTCCAATCATCATCAACTCTGAACAACATGCCTGCCTAATTCTGTAAAAATTTAAAATAGACATCAGAATCTATAAAACAACAACAAAGGACAAGGCAACTCATAATTGTACACAAAGGAATAGTAAGAGGAACCCAAAGTCTATCCCTCCACCCTCCAAATCTGTTGAAAAGTCAGGTTTTGATGGCCTTCATAAAACCCAGTAAGGTTGAGGCCATAGGGATCTCAGTAGGGATGCTAATGCTATATTGAGGACATCAAAAAAAACCTCCATTTCCTCAGTTTAGGGACCCAAAGAAAACCCCTTCAATCTTATCTGATTGGGTGGTGAAAAACAACTAGAGAAGGCCATCCCAAACACAGCCAAACCCTGGGGCATCTTCCTTCCACTGATTTCTCCTTATTGCAAAGAGGTTAATTTAGATACGTGTGGATGAGCTTCTGGTTTCTTCTTGCAAGTTCAGGACATCCATGGGAGGTTGATGACATCAGAATATATGACCCAGGCAATTAAAGCCCTGAGTCTTTTACATGGTTGAGATATAGGGAGGGAGGGAAGGAAGGAGGAAGAGCATAGAGCGAGGAAGGGAAGGAAAAACATGGAGGGAGGGAGGGAAGGAAGGAAGGATGCAAAAAGGGCATAGAGCAAGGAAGGAAAGGAAAAACATGGAGGGTGGAAGAAAGGAAGGAAGGAAGGAAGGAAGGGATGCAGGAAGGAAGGAAGTTTAAATAGTTCCATATTTTTTTTAAAGAGATAAAATTATTTCCTTCTTCCTTGCCCTCTTCTTGATGAAACTTTGCTGCTACTTGAAGTTATTTCATAAAATATGACCCAGCGCAATAAAATCTGTTTGTAACAAGGATTGGTAGAACACAGATTGGAAACCATTGATAAAACTGTGCAATATTTATTCAAGGTCGGAAAGTGTCTCCAAACAGATCGACTGTTTTACACACTGGGATGCCAACTGGTGATGGGACATTCTACGAGGCAACCTTCCCACACCAGGCCCACTTTTTTCTTCCTTTTATAAAGCCATCTTTTAGTGGATCTCATACCAGGATAATGATTTGGTGGAGCGAAAATGTCCAGATCTTTGGAGTAGAGCGAACTCAGGCCCACTAGCAGAACCAGCTCTTCAGCGACTTCTGGAAGAGTGCTAGAATGGGGGCCATTCTCATCTCTGGGGGGATGATGTTCCAGAGAGAAGGGGCCACCACAGAGAAGGCCCCTCTTCTGAATCCCACCAGGTGTATCTCCCTAGAGTACAGGACCCACAAAATTCCCTGCCTCCTTGCTCTGAGGGGTCGGGTAGATGTGACCAACAACAGACGGTCCCTCAGATAACCTGAGATGCTAATACCTTGACTAAAACGAGCAAAGAAACTAGGATTTGATCCGGAAAATGATGCTTTCTTTCTTACCTGAGTAAGCAGTGCCAGCGGGATGAGCTGGAACTTGTAATGTCCCCGATGTCAGAGGAGGAGGAGGAGGCAATGCCGTGGGAGGGGCAAACATATTGGGGTGATGGGTGTGATTAGAAGGCTGGAGGGCAGGTGTGAAATTATGGAGGGGGCTGTGATTGGGTAAAGACAGGGGGAAGGGGGAGGCCGAGGGATGGTGAGCTATGGGGGGATGAGGCGGTGGGGGAGGAGGGGGTTGACTTTTGGCTGGAGTGCTGCTTCTGCTGCTGCTGTTGGTGGGAAAGACGCAGAAAGGAAGATGTTAGCAAATGCACAGAGAGGAATTATCCAGTAAGGAAGGAGAGACCCACAAGCCCTCCCATCGCCACACAGAGAGAACAGGCCTTCCTTCCAAAATACAGGAAGTCCTCGACTTACAACAGTCTGTTTAGTGACCATTCAAAGTTACAACGGCATTGAGTGACTTATGACCATTTTTCAGACTTACAACCATGGCATCTTGTAAGGTCATGCGATCAAAATTCAGACACTTGGCAACTGGCTTGTTTTTATGACGGCTGCCATGTCCTGGGGTCATGTGATCCCCTTTTGCGACCTTCTGACCAGCCAATTCAGTGGGGAGCCAGATTCACTGAACAACTGCCAAATTTAGACCTTCCCCAGCAGGGAATTTAATCTCCTCAACTTATCTGACTTCTTCTAGGGAGAAGGATCATAATTTGCAAAGAAAGCTCAAGCTCTATTCACCTGCCATTTGATTTCTGAAAAACATCTCTTGGGTCTATATCAGGGGTGTCAAACTGAAGGCCTGGGGGCCGGATCCAAACCCTGGGGAATTTAGATCTGGCCCCACGGGCCTGACCCGTAACCAGCAAAGGGACCAGCCCACTGTGCCTCATCCAGCGAAAACGGAGCTCAGGAGGCAGCCCTCCCGAGCTCCAATTTTGCTGGCAGAGGACTGCGGGAGGCCATTACGGCTGAAAATTGTGGGGGGGGGCATGCACAGCCCCCCCCAGCTCCATTTTCGCTGGCAAAACAAACTAAAAACAAAACAAAAGGAGTAATGTTTCCCCTTTTGCATTTGAGTATGCAAGAAGGGACAGGAAAAGAGAAAGGGAAAGAGGAAAGACAAAGAAACAGAAGGAAAGATGGCAAGAGAGCAAGGAAGGAAAAATAAAGAAAGAGGGGGAGGAAGAAGCAAGGGGAATGAAGAGAGAAAGAAAAAGAAGAAAAGGAAGGAAGGAAGGAAGGAAGGGAGGGAGGGAGGAAGGAAGATTATAATGAGAGGAGTGAGAGTCTGAGGGAAGTCCTGCCTTAGGACTTGGTCACAACAGGTGCCCCCCACAACATGAATGACATCGAGCTGGCCACGCCCTTCCCAGCCTCCTGAGGTCAAACCCAACCCTAATTTGGCCTTCAATGAAATCGAGTTTGACATCCCTGGTCTATAAGAAGCCCAGATATTTTATTTGAAATATATATATATATATATGGATAAAGACTGATACTTGCCACGTGTCGGTTTCTCCTTTATTTATTTTTAATTTTTTTAAAAAAAATCTAAACTTGAGGAGCCCAAGAACTTGATAGAGGCTATGGGAAATGTTGCTACACGTCTCTGGGTTTTATTAGCAGAAGCGTGATAGATCCAGCCTAATTATTTAGTGCTTTATTTTCTTGTCTGATTAATAGCCTCTCCCTAACACTTGACACAGCAAGAGCCTTGCTGTACTTTCAGTCCTTTAAATTGCAGACAACAGTACTGGAAGCTGGCACCACTTTAAGCTTTTTGCCTAGTCTCAGTTTCCAAGGTTGGCCCAGAGTTTTTGGATTATGGAAGAAGACGTTATTTATAATTCGCTGGCCTTCTTCCAACTCTCCCACAGCACTCACCCAAATAAAGAGCCTGGCCCCTTTTCAAGAAATGTCAACATCTCTACTTTTACAACACAAGTGGATAAACGGATGCTTGGAAAACGCCCAGCGTGATCCTCACCTCAAGCTGTTGAGGCTCAAACTGCTGCTGTTGTAAGCCGACAACTGTTGTGCAAGGCTACGGGAGGGAGGACGCAGCTGTGAAGGTGGTCGGTTTGGATGGGCCGGCTGCCCAGGAGAAGGAGGCCTCGGTGGATGTTGTATTTGGGAAGGAGGAAGGGTGGGAAACTGGGCCTCTTCCAAAGCAGGTTGCTTCTCTGGGGCTTCCGAATAGGAGGAGCCAGCAGGGTGGACAGCAGGAGGCTCTGGAGAACGTGCCTCTGTTGGTGGCACCAAACGAGGTGGGACCAAAGGCTGAGGAACTTGAGGACAAAGATCCTGAGGCACAACAGGCTCAAGCGATGGCTCTTTCCCACCGTCCTGACTCTTCTCTTGGCTCCGTTCTAATCCTGATATTTTGGGGAGTGCCAAAGGCCTGGCCTCTTGATCTTCATTTTCTGTTAGCGTAACAACTCCTAAGTCTGGATCTGGAAACAAAAACAAAAGATGGTTGGTACAATAAGGCAAGCTACACATATTCTGAAGCTACACTTTAACATGTTAGGTTAACGAACCAGAGGTCTGACTGATTTTCAAGTAACGTTTTACATCCTGATAGAAAAACTAACCACAAAAAGCTAACCATTTGCAGCCTAATCTTTATATGAGTAGAGTAGAGTAGAGTAGAGCAGAGCAGAGCAGAGCAGAGCAGAGCAGAGCAGAGCAGAG